CCAAAGACCGCGATTATTGGGAGCATTGTTCAAGCTTTTTTCCTCCAACGGTGCTGGAGTGTGAGTTATTCTCTTTAGGCTTCATAAATGACATACGTGGGGACGGCCTAGTTGACTGGTATATCTCCTCTCTCTTTCATTTCGGTTTTTTCAGGCCACAAAGAGCAAAACCGCGGTAGTCACAGGTGCAATAGGTGAGGAGCTTTCTCCTATTCCACAAATAATTTTTAGACGGACATATAACCCCCCCGCCACCCCTCAAAAGGCATCTTGTTCTCCTTAGGGTCAGGCATAGCGTATGTAAACCAGCTTCAAAAATCAGAAAAATCTTAACCTCGTATTCTGACACTCGAGAGCGTGATGACTTTAGGACGTCTTTCGAGTGTGAGCGGGTCAAAACGTTGAACAGAAACCATGAAGTTGGTCACACGCACACACAAAGCCTCGTGGTCACCTCGTATTGACGCACCTCCCACCCCGAAATTAGATACCTGCACCCATCCTTATGTGGCTGATATCGGTATGTTGTTGGTGTGAGTGCTCAACCGTGGCAGACTTTTACATTCCAGAGTGTTTGTGCATATTAGACTGCTGTGATCGACCTTGGCATCGCCGCGGTGCTTATATTATCTCTCACTCACCACAACTCCCACTACAAAAAGTGAGTCTTACTCCACAATTCGTGTTGCTCCTCGTTTCGTACACATGGGCGCTGATCGCTGTTTTTATGCCTATCATCACCAACCAACCATCATTCTCCACCACGGCCTCGCAGGACAGAGACAGTAAGGGAGTCTTCCGTCAGCCAAGTCGGTACCAGCCTGACAGAACTTCCTTGTAATTATAGGTCATCACCAGGATCGTGCGGCTCAGCTTTACTACGAGTGCGTTGACAGCAGCCATTGCTGTGATTAATGTTATCCTGGTATGTAGAACTCCCAATCAATCTACTTGGCCCAAAGAGACTGATCATTGCGGTTCCTACATAGTATATGGCCCTTCCATCGAGCGAAGCCTACGATCTCCTACCGCAGCGTAAGCGCGAGATACTTAAAAATGTATTCCAATGAGAAAATGACTCAAATAAATCGCGTTTGCATCCGTGAATAGTGGTTATGGGGAAATTGTAAGTGTCATGTACTTTATCAACGACCATGTAGCTGAATCAATATTTCCACACTTCAAAAATATACAGGTACGTCATTTCTTGCATGATAACACTCGCATCGCGCTCGGAGCTCCGTAACGTCCTTGACTCGACCGAGAACTCGAGTTATGTCGCCGAGGAGGCCTGCTCTCGAACACCAAGCGGTCAGACCGTTAGCACCAAAATCGAGGTCCCTGCCGTAAATAAAGTTGTTTTCTCTTTCCATAAATCCACGTCGCTCAAAATTCTCTGTCATCCTCTTCTGCGTTGACCATAGCTTCCGCGACATCTTAGGACCCAAACTCACATTGCTCACATCACCACCACTCTCCCTATCCCCATCCCCACCTCCACCTCCACCTCCCCCACACCCACCCCTTCCTTGACGCCTAAATCTTCTATGACAATGATGAAGCCCAAACCAGTTCGTCCAGGCATCATGATCCGCACCACATCATTTACGAGATCCGACACAGGGGAGGTCCTACCAGCACCAGTTCCAGACGTACCTAAATCTCAATCCGAATATCGGCGAGATCGACATCGAGACTCGGACGACATCGTGCTCGATCGTGTACATACAATCAACGACGGCAACGAGGTGTTCGAGACGGCCATTCAATTCCCACCTCTTCCTGTGAGGACGGCGGCAGATGCTTCGACCGAAGAGCTGCAGTCGCAGTTCCGAGGCAGGAGCCTCACGTTCTCGAGACTCGGTCGGATGGCTTGATCTTGTTTTTTCGGACCCTCCGGGTTTACGCTGGGTATATTGTTTTCTGCGAAATGCGATTCTCTGTGTAATGATAAGTTGATCTATGACATGACCCGAGTACATTCATCACATTTGTCTGACTCCTTGAGGTGGAGAGTTCGAAGACACTCTCACTCGGCGAGAAGGATAGATATGGGACCGTGAATCATACCGTGTGTCCATCTTTCATTATTTCGCCCCACCATCCACCACCCATCCACCTAAGCAAGCATGTTCACTGGACTGGTACATACAGGCCCTTTAAGATTAAGCATGAAATAACCTTCTTAATACTTGCCTCCCTTGCTATTGTCAGGTGGAACACCAAGGCCGAATCCAATCCATTTCCCCGCTTGACACCACCGAATCTGGAGGTGGCGGATGGAGTATCGTCATCGCCGACAGCGCTCCCGTGTTAGAGGATTGCAATATTGGGGACTCTATTAGTGTCAATGGCGCATGCTTGACGGTCACTGAGTTCAATAAAACGGACCAGGGAGGTTTCTTCAAGGTTGGTGTGGCACCTGAGACCCTGGACCGAACGGACCTAGGTGGGCTTTTGAGGGTTTGGTTTGCTGATTCCAAGCTGACATAACTCCTTTCCCTTGTCCACAAGGGGAGCGCAAAGTGGGAGATCTCGTGAACCTCGAGCGTGCAATGGCGGCACATGTTCGATTCGGTGGCCATTTCGTTCAGGTATGCGCTATATCCACGTTCATCCTCTTCATTTTGGAGCACAAGCCAACTATTGTGATTGTGACACGTCTACTCATAGGGCCATGTAGATGACACGGTGACCATCCTCTCAAAAGCCATTGATGGCAACTCCCTCCGCCTACTCTTTCAAGTGCCCACGCCAACGCCCAACCACCCTTCTCTCCTACCATACCTAATACCAAAAGGTTACATCACACTCGACGGCGCCTCTCTCACTATCACTTCGGTCGACGACGCGCAACGCACATTCGGAGTCATGCTCATCGCACACACGCAAAGCAAGATCGGTCTCGGATTAAAGGACATCGGCAGGAAGGTGAACGTTGAGGTAGACATGGTGGGCAAGTACGTGCAGAAGGCGGTCATC